CCTGCCACAAGTGACCTTCCAATCTTCAAATCTGCTGGCCTGGATGGGTCTTTGTTCCTTTATCCTACCCCAAATTATCTTCTCTGACATAGGGGGTATTGTAGTTGACTTAAGTTCTGTGACATGCAAATCAACAGATGTAGCAACACTTACTGGAATTTGGCCTTTGTTGTTTCCAATCGTCATTTTATTGAAGTCAACTACACACTTCCTTGGTAGAAAATAGTCCAATCCTAATATGCATTGGTCTTCAATGTCAGCCAAGTATACTTTCTGTCTGTTCTTCATACCCATGAGCTCAATAGTTACCCACACTGGTCCCCACAACATTGCATAATGTCCTGTCACACCACAGAGCTTCTGGTACTCCTTTGTGATCCAGCACCTTGATACTCACAAGGGTTTGCTGAGATTCAGAATTTATGATAAAGTTGCACCTTTGACCATCCAGCTTTCCTATCACGTAGACACTATGTGTGCTTGCCATTTTATACTTAGTTGTTGGGACTTTCACGATAAGAGCTGGTTGGCGTCCCCCAGCACCAACCACTACTGGTTTCCCGAAGCTGACTTATTGGTGGTATTCTTCTTACACTGGCTCCTCATATGTCCTTGCTCTCCACAGTTCCAACAACCTTTCTGGGTAGCAGCCTTTCCTGCTGTGGCATCTTCCCTGTGTTGAAGTTGCCAGCATTGAGCTCTCTTGTGCCCAGGTTTGTTATAGTGCCAGCAAAGTCCCTCAAACCTCTCTGAAAGCTGACCTTTTCTGGCCTTGAATCCTGATGACTGTACCAATCTTGATACCTCTGTGCTGGACTTAACGTAGGATTCAAATTCGAGAGCTCTGGCCATTGCATCCTGCATAGTAGAGAGGTGTGCTTGCTTTACTTGTATCTTCAGTTGTGGACTGTCCAAGGCATCTACAAACTGATCCTTCAGCAACAGTTTGAGGACATCTGGTGGTGCAGTTGGGTAGGCCTTGTGTGCCATACATTCCAAATCCTGTGCCAGCTCTAGCAGGCTTTCTCCTTTAGTATGGACTCTTGTCCTAAACCTAGCCCTGTAGACTTCAGACTGATTTTGAGTCCCATACCCGAGTTCTAGAGCCGTTACCAGTGCTCTATAGTTGTGCCTGTCG